TCAATCATTTGAAGACAGAGAAAAATGACACAAATTGACAGAACTCTTTAGGCATTCTAGAACAGGAGCACAACTATTAATACTTCAGTAGGATAAAAGTGAAGTACCTAGAAGCAGAGTCTTACCTTGATCAAATGGTTTACCCGGACTCCATGTACGAAAATAATCATCCTGGAGAGGGAGAAACAACTTAAATTTAGTAAAATATAAGGAATCAATGTATACACAAAAAACTTACAGTATCATGAAAGACAGAAGATGTATACCAACCTCTACTTCCTAGAAAAGGCAAGCAGGAAAATAAAGAAAAAAAAAAAAAAAGGAGAGAAAAAGATTACAGTTATCATAACGGGACAAATTATTCATTTGCACTCATAAAGTAAAAATGCTATTCAAAAATGTTACTCATTAGTATTTAAAGTAGAAAACTTATTTCTCACAGTACCTATATAGGTAATGCTTTTAACACTGCTATCAAAATGTTAATTTTCCTGTACTTCACCTTCTAAAATATTGAAAAACTTAGTCACATTTTCACTGAATGAGTTTTCAAAAAAAAGCTTAAAGTTACCATCAATAAATACAGTTATCCTAAAGAATGATACATAAATTTTTGAAAAGTATTTTGTTATGTAGCTTTCAACTGCATCAGTAAGATCTTCCATTAGGTAAGTCTAATTAGCTGTATTTTCTCCAAATCATCTTACAAACATAAAATATCTTCCTAATTGTGTCATCAGCTGTATTAGGCTACAATTTCAAGAAGGAAAAACTTGAATTAAATAAATTGCAGAAATAAATTACAAATCCAAAGACAAGGCAATAAATTGATCTGCACGTCTCCGATAATACATGGCACAAGAAAATAACTGGAATTGTTTATTATTACGTTGTAATCTAACTCAATATTCTGTAGAAAAAAATAGTTAAAAGACTGTACCAATCCTTTTACAATCGCATAAGTTAAGCCTCACAAACTGCAGTGGGTGTACTGTCACATACAGCAGTTCCATGTACCTTGCTAAAAGACCTCTGTAAAGGAACCTCTATTTATACAAAATTTAACTACTGGGAAAATGTGAGTCTCATGCAGTTCACAAAGCCATAATCATAACTTAAAAATGATCAAGCATCAAACATATCTTTACACGTAGAGCACACTTGTGGAGTTTTAACAGGTAAGTATTTTTACATCAAATTAAATGAAAAAAAAATCAAAAAACCAACCAACCAACCAACCAACCAACCAAACTCCCCAAAAAATCCAACAAACAGTGCTTGCAGCCTAAACCATATTTCACTGATGATGTTTGATTTAGTGAAAACGTTGTTATGGAAATGTGTGCTTTGAAAGAGAAAGAAATTAGTAGAATCCAGAAGTACAAAATTAACTGTATTTCTGTACCGATATTTACACATTCCTATACTCTGATGCTGCACAGATTAATAATCTATGAATCTAGGTATGCTATTTGCTTTTTTAATTAATTTTTTAGGTGATAAAACATTTTTTTCTAAAGTAATAAAAAATTTCATAGGCATATCAACTTTTGTTAATCACACAAGAAATAAGGAGAAATTATGATTATGATAGTGTTTTCCAATTATTACTCCTAATAGCAATTATGGAGATGTTATTCCTGCAGTGGTGTTCTGAACAGAGTGGAACGAGCTGTACCGCAATGCTGTTCCATGAACACCACCACAGTGGTAAAAGTTACAATTCTTGAAAAAACATCAAAGTGGTAGATTCTCTTTCTATTTCTACTAAATCAACAATGTTCACTCACAATGAGCCCATGCAGAAAATAGTGAAATATTAGAATAACTAGAACATATATCAGAACAAAAGTACAGTCATTTTGAGCGAGAAAAATCCCTTCTATGGGAAAGCAGCCTGCATTTTGCTTAAGGAAGAATGTACAAGTGTGGTTTGTATAAATTACATGTTCTCAAGTTGGTCTCAAACCAACCAGAAGTTAAATCAATTCTTGTTCATTTCTATACTGCAGACAACTCCACAGATCCCAAATATAATACCCCTCAGGCTTTTATAGAAGTCTGGCTGACTTCTGTCTACAAAGCAACTTCACACCTTTCTTGTTACCCTTTTCTGAATCTCTTCCAAGTCTATTTTCTTGATAACTAGAATTGTGCAGAGCATTCAAGATGAAGCAGCATTATGGATCTCTACACAACTTCTACAACACTATTTTGTTCTGTATTCTTCTCCCCATTATGTCTACCTCTCTGCTGTCTTTGTAGGTTAGGGGAGAGCGTTTTTGTTCTTTTTAACTGTAGTATAATTTCAACAGATTATGGTTTGCATGGAACCTTCTATCTTAAATACAAATACCATATATACCTATACTGATTTTTCTAAAGAAGTAATTTTTCAAATCATCTGTTACTTCAATAAAATCCATTATTGAATACGTTTAACTAAATTTCTATGTGCCTCTACAAACAAAATTGCTTAGAATTGATTATCAGATTAAGTAAGGGTTGTTTAGAATTGATTTTTAGATTAAATAAGGAAATTGCTTCAATAAATTGTAGTTCCACAATTTTACAAATATTCCTAAAGCTCTTTACCCTATCACATGGCTTCCTGTTACACTCAAACCTTTTCTAATCTTCAGTCAGTAAGCTTGATTATAATAATGTTCAATATCCTCTGCAGAATGTAATCGAGATCATAATATAATTTACAAAGCCTCATTTTCATAATTTTGACATAAAAACCAGAATGAATGAATACATGGTTCTACCTCAGGTGAAGGCTGAGTAGCATCACAGCACCTCTAGGTAATCCTTTAATAATCTATAAATGCAAAAAGCAATGTCTCAGTATCTCGGGACAGAGCCTCTGTCTTCTGAACTTCTTCAGGAGCTTCCTTGCCTTTGTTCCAAACATGTTAAAGGGCAAGTTGTAAAAGTACATAGAATAAAGTCACAAATTTGTAACAGTAACCATACTATTTATCCAACACTTTCTAGCTAAAGCTATTCATACATTTTAAATAGAAAATTCATTCTTATCGCTCTACTTGAAACTATGTGAAATGTCAGTATTTCTTTCAAGTGCGCCTCTGTCTGAAAGATGCAGAGCACATCTAACAGCCATGGATGATGGATTCCAATGGGTTAAATATCCATGCCTTAAAATTATGCATGTTTAGCATTACGCTCATTCAGGGTCCCAGTGATGAAGTGTGTTTTAAGAACTTAAGTTTGTGCTGCAATTACTTATGCACTTTAAGACTAATACGTTTTTTTCTTTTTCCTGAAAAGGTCTTGCTGTAAAAAAACAAACAAACAAAAAAATC